GTACCTTTGACGGATAAGGCGAAGGAAATCTCTGCCTTCGTAATTCCAGGAGGTCATTATCAATACACAGTTACCCCCTTCAGAATGAAAAATTCCCCCTCTTCATTCCAGAAACTTATCCATCAGGCTATTAAAGAACTTGAAGGCACGGCAGCGTACCTAGATGATATTGTTGTGGTGTCTGATACTTGGGATCAACACCTACTTAGACTTAAGGCTCTGTTTGAGACCTTTAAGAGTTCCCATTTAACAGTTAATTTATCTAAATCTTCCTTTGGCCAGGCCACTGTCACTTTTCTAGGACATGAAGTAGGTAGTGGTAAAGTTGCACCTAAACTTGCTAAAGTTCTTTCTATTAAAGATTATCCATTTCCTCATGATAGGAAATCTCTTCAACGTTTCCTAGGCATGATAGGATTTTACAGAAGATTCTGTAAGAATTTCTCAGATATTGTAGCCCCTCTTACCTCTCTTACCAGTCACAAAGTTCCCTTTAATTGGACCTCAGACTGTAACACTGCTTTTAATAAAGCAAAAAGAATTATTGTGTACGCACCCATTCTCTTGTCTCCAGACTTCTCCAAACCTTTTTCATTACAGGTTGATGCTTGTGAGTCTGGGGTTGGGGCAGTACTATTACAAATCGGGAACAAGGAGTTGCAGCCTGTAGCATACTTTTCATCTAAGTTCCAGCCACATCAGAGGGCTTACTCTACCATTGAAAAAGAAGCCCTCGCGCTGGTACTGGCTTTGGAGCATTTCGATGTTTATGTGGGCCAGACATCGCAGGTAGTCACAGTCTACAGTGATCACAATCCTCTAGTATATCTCCAAGCCATGAAGAACCACAACACAAGGCTTATGCGCTGGACACTAAGGCTGCAGCCCTATAATATTTCCATTAAATATATTGCCGGCAAAGAAAATAATGTTGGCAGAACTCTTTATCTAGAGTATAATATTTTATTTAGGTTAGGATGTTATTTGTGGTAACCCCTTTTCACGTTCTTTTTTTTTATCCCCTGGTGTGGGGTTTTTTTTTAGTGAGGGGATGCGGGCTACCGTCCGCCTGTATCTTGGACCTATGCTAGCCTGTCTGACTGCTGTCTCACTCTAAGTTTAGGGTTTGGCTTTTGGTCACGAGAAAAGCTGAGCTCTATCTAAGAGTTGGATGGTGGAGAGGAAAGGCGGTCCCATTATTTTGTGCCATGGAGGCACGGTTACCACTGGGAGGTGGCAGCCTAATCCTGAGCCTTCTCGGGGTGGGGGTGTGGCATGCAAAGAGTACGTAACCTTTATTCGGCGCATGTACACACCCTCATTTACAGGCTATCTCCCCCAACCAGCGAACCAGGTTGCTAAGAGTTGATGATGGGGCCCCGTCGTTCAACTAGTGACCAGGTTCTAGCCAATAAGAAGATGGTTTTGGCAATCGCAGAGGTTATGTGGGTACCGCTCTCCTGTCTGCCCTTGTCATTCCCATTCTAGAGCTGGTTGAAGCACGGTCTGCTATCTTGTGGCTTCTATTTCTGCCTTGCTTACCGTGGAGTGCACTATACTTATCACTGTACATAGTGTACATATTGCTGTTCTAAATTGGTGAAGGATAATATAAGTCTAAACTTTTTCTACTGTGTTTATTTTGCTCCCATTACACCCGGGATAACAGGCCATTTGGAATCCTGGGTTGTAATAATTATCCAGGAGGTATTTTTTCACACAGGGCCAAACACTTCATTGAACCATTCCAGGAAAATTTCCCTTGTGACCTATGCCCTACTGTTTACCTTCCACATCACACACAATTTACTCTTCACAACACTGTTTTTCTTGAACACTCTGGGATTTTCAGAGTGATACACCAGTAAAGGCTTCACTTTGAAATCCCCACTAGCATTACCACACAATAAGAGAGTTAGCCTGTTTTTCATAGGCTTGTGTCCTGGGAGAGTCTTTTCCTCCTGTGTGATGTAGGTCCTCTTTGGCATTTTCTTCCAAAAGAGGCTTGTTCGTCACAATTGAACACTTGTTGGGGTTGGAATTTTTCAGACTCTATATAACATTTGAATTCCCGCACAAATTTTTCAGCCACCTGTTTGTCTGAACTGGCACCCTCACTGTGCCTTACAACACTGTGTATGCCACTTCACTTCTTTAATTTTTTGAACCAGCCTTTGGTAGCCGTGAATTCACCTACATCACCACTTGTTTCAGGCAGTTTCTTTATGAGATCATCATGCAACTGCCTTGCCTTTTCACAAATAATGGACTGCACAACACTATCTCCTGCTAACAATTTCTCTCTGATCCACACCAACAAAAATATCTCCACTTCTTCAACATCATCTTCCAAGATTTCTTTTCTCTTTGCCACAATGGAGCTGATTGTTGATGGCAACTTCCTGTACATCCTGCCAAGTTCAGCAATGCGTATGCCACTATCATATTTTCTTAGGATTTCTTTTTTCAGTTCTACAGTGTTCCTCACTTTCTTTACCAAAGCACTGGCACTAAGAGCTTTCTTTGGGGCCATGGTCGCTTATTTAGCAGTCACACACAATAAACAAGTGGCAAAAACAATGATTACAAAATGTTTCGTATGACCTGGCAGGATATGTTCACTCACCGAGAAACAATGCTACACTGGCTGAGAATGCGTGTGGGAAGCGGCTTTGTCTGCGCGCTGGGGATTAGACAGGTTCCGTATGATCGACGAAAACAGAGGTAATCAACAAAAATGGAAGCCAAAAATCAACGAAAAGAGTCGGCCAAAACCGAAATCAGCAATAACAGAGATCGATGAAAATGGAGGGTCCACTGTATATGTTTTTATTCTGTGATTTGTGCCCTGTTCCTGCGAGAGAGGGACCAAGTTTTTTTCTCAGTCAATTGTGGTCGAGGACGACCATGGGCGTGTGGCCGAGCAAAATGTAGACAGTAAGCTTACGATGTATGCCCGGTTGAGTTCATATTTCGTGCCATGCTTGTGCTGCCACCTATAGGCCCACCCGGTTCAGCTGTACCACGCTTACTTCACCCTCACTCAGCACCGGCTCATCCTAGAGTCAACAAGATACCACTTTGTCACTCTCTCCTGGGCATGGCCCTCTGGGCCATGGGCACTTAACACACTGCCTGTGTACCATGAACCGCAAATAAAGTAAGAAACCTCTGAAGAGTATCATTGAACCCTGCTTTGATCACACGTAAATAATCCCATGATAAGCAGGTGATATCACAATAGTGATATCATCCTAAGTGCTTTCAAGATTTCTTACATTATCAAGGACTATTAAAATTAATGAAACAACAGAAGACTTATTAGGCCAAGATATGACCTCACACATGACCCAACATGCTGAATTTCCTCATCTATGAACTCTGGGCTGCAAATGCACAGAGTTCTCAAAAACATTGATGAGAATACAGAAAGTTTAACTGTCATGATGCGAGGAATATTAGTGTACATAATGGTTTTATGTATATTATATATATATTAGCAGTTTGGAGGGATATGCTGTGTATCTTTATATGTGTATATACTTCTAAACTGTTGTGTTCTGAGCACCTCTGCAAAAACAGTGATTATGTGTGAGTGAGGTGAAAGTGTTGAATGATGATGAAAGTATTTTCTTTTTGGGGATTTTCTTTCTTTTTGGGTCACCCTGCCTTGGTGGGAGACGGCCGACTTGTTGAAAAAAAAAAATGTATATTCTTAATTTAAATTCTTCGTCTCCCTTAATAATTAAAACATATAAAAAGGGCAATGAGTTATTTCATTCAAACTCAACAGTAAACTTTATGGATGGACCTAGTCTATTTAATTCAAATAGGACAGGGTTTATATCTACATATATTCTTGGGCATTAAGCACAGAACATCCATATATCTGTACCATTTACCTTTATCAGGTCTGGGCATATACAGTAGACAGGATGAATATGGATAGGATGAAGAGGGTGTATAAATCTAGGGTGGAAGGGAAGAGGGGTAGGAGTCATCCCTGGAACAATTGGAGGGAGAGGAGGGTAAGAGAGGCTTAAGCATCCAGCAGGCTTGTGTTGAGCATGTTAGATATGAGGGACTGGAGACAAGTAGTTTTTAATAGATGTGCTGTCAAAATATTAAAGTCCAGTTAGCTGGACTATAGTTCTAGAGATGAGAAAGGCAGTGCCTGCACTCTGTACACTCCGGAGGGGTGGGGACACTGCAGTCACAAGACAATCTGAACTGTGATGTCAGCATACTTTTGACAACAGAGATTGAATGAATGGCGGTGAATGAGTTTTCATCTTTGGTTCACCCTGACCTGGCAAGAGATGCTCACTGAGGGTAAAAAAGAGGGAGAAAACATGTAAAAGTAAAAAAATTGTGTAACAGTGCATAATTTACCAAAATGATTTTAACTCTTACATATACCATTCTAGTAGGTTGGTAAACAGCAACCGCCCAGGGAGGTACTACCGTCCTGCCAAGTGAGTGTAAAACGAAAGCCTGTAATTGTTTTACATGATGGTAGGATTGCTGGTGTCCTTTTTTCTGTCTCATAAACATGCAAGATTTCAGGTACGTCTTGCTGCGTCTACTTACACTTAGGGTCACACTACACATACATGTACAAGCATATATATACACACCCCTCTGGGTTTTCTTCTATTTTCTTTCTAGTTCTTGTTCTTTTTTATTTCCTCTTATCTCCATGGGGAAGTGGAACAGAATTCTTCCCCCGTAAGCCATGCGTGTTGTAAGAGGCGACTAAAATGCCGGGGGCAAGGGGCTAGCAACCACTTCTCTTGTATAAATTACTAAATTTAAAAAGAGAAACTTTCATTTTTCTTTTTGGGCCACCCTGCCTTGGTAGGATACGGCCGGTTTGTTAAAAAAAAATATACCATTTTTATTTGAAATAGTTATATAGCCTTACATGCAAATGTATTGTACATAAAAAAACTAGAAGAGCATATTATACAAGCTTGTACAAAATAAATGACAGTACTCACATGAATTTGCATGACTTGAGGATTTGAATTTACAGTTTCAAGAAAGGCTTCAAAAAAGCGGTCAGAAAGGCTTTGCTGCACTACAACTTGTCTTACATTTACCACAGGGTTGACAATTTTACGCTCCAAATCCATATATTCCAAGGAATTCAATCTGAAAATTAATTATTTACATTAAAAACTTGAAATCCAATAAAACCAACATTCTAAATCCTGAGATTTTTTTTTATTCTGTAAATTACACTAAAAAAGTATGGTAGTCAGGCAAGAGTCTTAAGAAGTTTAACAATAGATGTTGAAGTCAAGACAGTGGTGGGTTTACCGATAAGCAAACAAAGGGGCAACTTAGGGCCACGACTACTAAAGGATCCCAAAACTGTTAACAATTTGTTTCTTAACCCTTTGTGAGTCACACTCTTATCTGTAATGTTTGACTGTTTATCATTGCCCTGGCACTGCAAATATTTATTTGCTTATTACATAAACTTTTCATTCTGAAATCAAAATGCAGTCTTTTAAGTTGTTCTCATATTTTGCTGAATATTTATTTCTGAAAAATCAATTTATATCAAAACATGTTCATAGAGGGCCAGTGGCAGTCATAGAATCAATCACATACATGGCTTTAATAAAATTTTATTTCCACTAGTGCAGTAGCAGAGAGTAGTATGAGCTACAAAATGTTGTTCAGCTTTGGGTCATAGACTTCTAAATTCACTACTGAGCCAAGACTCTCCAAATGAGTTACAGTATATTTTTTTTTTTAACATGCCAGCCAACTCCCATCAAAGTATGGTGACCCAAAAGAAGAAATGCTTTCGCCATCATTCACTCCTATCACTTGTCTTGCTAGAGGCAAGCTGATACTACAGTTCTCATGATCCCACACTGCAAATATCCCCACCCCTCCTTCAGAGCGCAAGCAGTGTACTTCCCACCTCCAGGACTCAAGTCTGGCTAACTGGTTTCCCTGAATCCCTTCAAAAAAATGTTACCTTGCTCACACTAACAGCTTGTCAAGCCCCCAAAACCATTAGCCATCACTCCTGTCTAACACACTCATTTACTCCTGCTGGATGTCCAAGCCTCTTACACACAAAACTTTCTTTACACCCTCCCTCCAACCCTTCCTAGGGTGACCCCTACCCTGCCTTCCCTCCTTTACGGATTTATACACCCTCAAAGTCATCCTATTTTGTTCCATCCTCTCTAAATGTCCAAACCCCCTCAACAAACCCTCCTCAACCCTCTGAATAAACCTTCAGTAACTCCACACCTCCTCCTAATCTCCAAGCTACAAATTCTCTGCATAATATTTACACCACATACTGCCCCAAGACATGATATCTCCATTGCCTCCAGCCTCCTCCTTTCTGCAGGATTCACAACCCATGCTTCACACCCATATAATAGTGGAAATATAAACACATATGCAGTATAATGTGATCCTTTATTGACGACGTTTCACCCACACAGTGGGCTTTTTCAAGTCACACACAGATCTACCTGGGGTGGAAAGTACGGGAGTATTTATAGTCATGTTCAGAATGTTGAGGTCAGGTGGAGAATGCTGCATCTGATGATCTACCGGGTGGAGTTATAGAGTCTTGGGTAGCTTGGCAAGGGTATTGGACAAGTTGTGAGTAGACCTTCTGCAGTGTTCTATGTTCTTATGTGGGATAGCAATGAAGAAGTTTCTTGGCGAGTGGTTCAGCTATGTTATAGAAGCCGTTGTTCTGGTTGAAATTGTTGGTTATAGATAAGCAATGATTCCAGGATTCTTCGGTATTGAGTGTTGTCTTCTGTGGCGATAAGTCTTGAGTTTCTGTAGTTAATTAAATGGTTGTGTGAATTGCGATGTTGCACACAGGCATTCCTTGTATCTTAAGTCCTGCTTGCATATTGGTGTTCTGAAATACACAGGAATGCCTGTGTACAACATCGCAATTCACACAACCATTTAATTAACTACAGAAACTCAAGACTTATCGCCACAGAAGACAACACTCAATACCGAAGAATCCTGGAATCATTGCTTATCTATAACCAACAATTTCAACCAGAACAACGGCTTCTATAACATAGCTGAACCACTCGCCAAGAAACTTCTTCATTGCTATCCCACATAAGAACATAGAACACTGCAGAAGGTCTACTCACAACTTGTCCAATACCCTTGCCAAGCTACCCAAGACTCTATAACTCCACCCGGTAGATCATCAGATGCAGCATTCTCCACCTGACCTCAACATTCTGAACATGACTATAAATACTCCCGTACCTTCCACCCCAGGTAGATCTGTGTGTGACTTGAAAAAGCCCACTGTGTGGGTGAAACGTTGTCAATAAAGGATCACATTATACTGCATATGTGTTTATATTTCCACTGTGTCGGTATTTTATACCATTTATCCCCATATAATAGTGTTGGTATTACTATATTCTCATACATTTTCCTTTGTTGAGGGCATGGATAACATTCTTTGTCTCCACAGATGCCTCACTGCACCACCCACCTTTTTCCTCTCATCAATTCTATGCTTCACCTCATCTTTCATATACCCATATGCCAACAAACCCACTCCCAAATATCTGAATACATTTACTTCCTCTATACTTCCTCCTTCCAATCTAATATCCAGTCTTTCATTACCTAAATCACTTGTTACCCTCATCACTTTCCTCTTTCCTATGTTCACTTTAAATTTCCTTCTTTTACATACCCTGCCAAATTCATCCACCAACTTTTGCAACTTCTCTTCAGAATCTCCCAAAAGCACAGTATGATAGGCATAAAGATCCTGCATACAGTGGACCCTCGGTTATAAGCCGCTCTGGATATCAGCCAATTCAGATTTCGGCCGCTTTTTTGGCCAAAATTCTATCCCAGATTTCAGCCGTCAACTCGGAAATCAGTCATATTGGATGTGTCCATCCCGCCACTCCGCCGCATTCGTGAGTCAGTTTGGCTGTGTCTCTCGGAGAGTGAAGAAGACTCCGCGCATTCATCCAAACATTTCATTATACATGTAATCCATTGTTTTTTGGGGTTGTTTATTGAGTGCGACTGTGAAATAAGCCACCATGGGCCCAAAGAAAGTTCCTAGTGCTAGCCCTTTGGTAAATAAAGTGAGAAACACCATAGAATTCAGTGGCAAAATCTTGTCCCACTTCAGGTAAATCTTCAAGAGATGCCAGAAACAGACCTTTTTGGACAGTTTTTTTGCACAACAGGGGTGCAGTGACTCTCAAGCTGGTCCTAGTGCCAGTAAAAGACAAAGAAGGAAAGTAACCCTAGACAGGGACTTGATACCTGAAGTCCTTATGGAGGGGGATTCCCCTTCCAAACAATAAATCAGTCCTCCATCTCTCCTCCTCCCTGTCTTCCATAAGCCAACAAGAGTCTCCAATAATGATATGTAATAGTGATTTAAATATTCATTTATTTGTTTTATTTAGTTCTCATTGTTTTGTGTATGTAAAACTAAAGTTAATCTTTAAAAAAATGTATTTTTTTGTTAATATTTTTGGATGTCTGGAGTGGATTAATTGTATTTACATTAATTCTTATGGGAAATATTATTTCGGTTTTCAGCCTTGTCAGAGGCTAAAACATTAGGTAGTAGTTTCAAATTTAGGTTGGATAAATACATGAGTGAGAGGGGTTGGATTTGAGTGAGACTTGCATATGAGTGGATAGAGTTATCAGAGCTTATTTCTTGGGTGGCATGGAAAATTGGGTTGGGCAAATGTTTTGTTAGTGGGATGGATTGAGAAGGACCTGCCTAGTATGGGCCAACAGGCATGCTGCAGTGTTCCTGCTTTCTTATGTTCTAGTGGCAGGCTTCCTTGTGAAGAACATTGTTCTGGACAACTGAGACCGTTTCTTCATATCTACAAACAGAGTTTTGTAGGGAATTATGCCTCTATCAATGTTGTTCATCACCTTCAAAGCCCTAAACATAAATACGATTTGGCAGCTTGGAATTCGCAAATGTTCGAAGCCAGGAAAAGTGGAAAATGTGAATGTTGAGGGAGACCTGTACATGAATGAAATGAATGTAGAATGTGCATGCATATGCTCTAGCATGGACATGCATGCCACTAGCATAAACATGCATGTTAGTGGCTTTCTTTTGTGCTTAACAATATTTTATTACCCTAGGTAGTAGGTTGGCAGACAGCAGCTGCCCAGGGAGGTACTACCGTCCTGCCAAGTGAGTGTAAAACAGAAACCTGTAATTGTTTTACATGATGGTAGGATTGCTGGTGTCTTTTTTCTGTCTCATAAACATGCAAGATTTCAGGTACATCTTGCTACTTCTACTTACACTTAGGTCACACTACACATACTTGTACAAGCATATACATATACATACTCCTCTGGGTTTTCTTCTATTTTCTTTCTAGTTCTTGTTCTTGTTTATTTCCTCTTATCTCCATGGGGAAGTGGAACAGAATTCTTCCTCCGTAAGCCATGCGTGTCGTAAGAGGCGACTAAAATGCCGGTAGCAAGGGGCTAGTAACCCCTTCTCCTGTATATAATACTAAATTTGAAAGGAGAAACTTTCGTTTTTCCTTTTGGGCCACCCCACCTCGGTGGTATACAGCTGGTACGTTGAAAAAAAAAAAAATTTATTACATGTAGACTACATTTTTCATACTGAAAAAAAAAAAGGAATAACATTTTCGTTCCTTGTAGTACAGAGTTGGGCTTAGAAATAATAAACTGAAAACAATAAACTGAGCACAATATGTAAATAAAAATTTTCATCCTCATGTAATTAAAAAATTTAATCATACCATCTAATACAACACAAAAATCTGACCTCACATAGAATGATGCTATCCCTTCCTTAATGGATGAAACTCTGATGTTCAGTAACTGTGTGTCCATGGCACTGTTCTGAGCAAGTTGGTTGTTGATGCTACTCTCTAAGGATAAAACTGCATCATGATGATGTATCAAGAAGACTTTGTAGGCTGTTACCTTTATTAACCAGCTATCAGTGGCAATCACTCGACATACACTATTGGCTTTTGTGCTGAACTTGTCTATCCTGCCAAAAATTAACACTGTGACAATAATGGTCAGAATACTTACTATAGCTAGAACAATCGCAATTAACCCACAGTTTGGAAACTTCAGGCAATATTTTGATTGATCCTGCACAATTACCAAGTTGCAAGTAAACATGATAATGGCTCAGGATGAATAAAAAATTTTCTACTAGTATATAAATCTCACAAATTTAAGACTAAAACTGTAAATGTACTATGCCAATACTGCAATATAAACAGAGATTAACAATATTAAATGTTTCATAAAGATTCATATTTAAAACATTAAGGAAATCAAAAGAAAACATAACAAATCTAACCTTCGGAACTCAATGTTAACATCAGAAGCTATGGATATCCATGCATTGGGTGATACTGTATTTCCCTGGCCATACAGGGCCAATGTGCGGCTTAAGGGATGGTGCCGCCAGTTGTCTTGCCGCCAATGTGCAACTATCAAAGCTGCTATAATAGTTGGGACTAGTGAGAATATAACTGCTATTGAAGTGGTATGAGGATGAATATGAGTAGTTGCCCATTGTACAAGTGAAGGTTCAATCTTCACAAGCATCAGTATATAACCTATGATGAAATATAAAATTTTCAAGTTAAAACAACAGCATGAAAATGGACTACACAATTTTTCCTTGTATCAAGGACTGAAATATGTTCAGCAAAGTTCACATTCATGACAAGAAGCCGAACAGTAAGTAATGAAGCTGAAATTTAAACAAAAATTCAAATTTTCATTTCCAAAATATAATAAAGTATACAAATATAATTTTCTGAAAAGCCCATAATACTATATACAGTGGACCCTCGGTTAACGCCTTTAATCCGTTCCAGAGAGCTAGCCTTTAACTGATTTAGCCTTTAACCGAATTAATTTTCCCCATAAGAAATAATAGAAATCCAATTAATCCGTTCCACACACCCAAAAGTATTAAACAAAATAATTTTTTTTACATGAAATATACATTTCCCTACACAAAAAACAATGATACATGAAGAATAAAACAATAATATCACACTTACCTTTATTGTGGACTTGTTGATGAGTGATGAGATGGGAGGAGGGCAGAGGATAAAGGTGTTCTATTGTTTGGAAGGGGAATCCCCTTCCATAAAGACTTCAGGTAACAAGTCCTTTTCTGGCTTGTGTCTTGGGAGTGCCTTTTCCTCCTAAGTAATGTAGGTCCTGCTTGGCACTTTCTTCCTAAACAGGCCTGTTTCATCACAATATAACACTTGTTGGGGTTTTAATTTTTCAGCCTCTATTTTTTTTTTTTTTATCACACTGGCTGATTCCCACCAAGGCAGGGTGGCCCGAAAAAGAAAAACTTTCACCATCATTCACTCCATCACTGTCTTGCCAGAAGGGTGCTTTACACTACAGTTTTTAAACTGCAACATTAACACCCCTCCTTCAGAGTGCAGGCACTGTACTTCCCATCTCCAGGACTCAAGTCCGGCATGCCGGTTTCCCTGAACCCCTTCATAAATGTTACTTTGCTCACACTCCAACAGCACGTCAAGTATTAAAAACCATTTGTCTCCATTCACTCCTATCAAACACGCTCACACATGCCTGCTGGAAGTCCAAGCCCCTCGCACACAAAACCTCCTTTACCCCCTCCCTCCAACCTTTCCTAGGCCGACCCCTACCCTGCCTTCCTTCCACTACAGACTGATACACTCTTGAAGTCACTCTGTTTTGCTCCATTCTCTCTACATGTCCGAACCACCTCAACAACCCTTCTTCAGCCTTCTGGACAACAGTTTTGGTAATCCCGCACCTCCTCCTAACTTCCAAACTACGAATTCTCTGCATTATATTCACACCACACATTGCCCTCAGACATGACATCTCCACTGCCTCTAGCCTTCTCCTAGCTGCAACATTCATCACCCATGCTTCACACCCATATAAGAGCGTTGGTAAAACTATACTCTCATACATTCCCCTCTTTGCCTCCAAGGACAAAGTTCTTTGTCTCCACAGACTCCTAAGTGCACCGCTCACCCTTTTCCCCTCATCAGTTCTATGATTCACCTCATCTTTCATAGACCCATCCGCTGACACGTCCACTCCCAAATATCTGAATACATTCACCTCCTCCATACTCTCTCCCTCCAATCTGATATCCAATCTTTCATCACCTAATCTTTTTGTTATCCTCATAATCTTACTCTTTCCTGTATTCACTTTTAATTTTCTTCTTTTGCACACCCTACCAAATTCATCCACCAATCTCTGCAACTTCTCTTCAGAATCTCCCAAGAGCACAGTGTCATCAGCAAAGGGGCAACTGTGACAACTCCCACTTTATGTGTGATTCTTTATCTTTTAACTCCACACCTCTTGCCAAGACCCTCGCATTTACTTCTCTTACAACCCCATCTATAAATATATTAAACAACCACGGTGACATCACACATCCTTGTCTAAGGCCTACTTTTACTGGGAAATAATTTCCCTCTTTCCTACATACTCTAACTTGAGCCTCACTATCCTCATAAAAACTCTTCACTGCTTTCAGTAACCTACCTCCTACACCATACACCTGCAACATCTGCCACATTGCCCCCCTATCCACCCTGTCATACGCCTTTTCCAAATCCATAAATGCCACAAAGACCTCTTTAGCCTTATCTAAATACTGTTCACTTATATGTTTCACTGTAAACACCTGGTCCACCCACCCCCTACCTTTCCTAAAGCCTCCTTGTTCATCTGCTATCCTATTCTCCGTCTTACTCTTAATTCTTTCAATAATAACTCTACCATACACTTTACCAGGTATACTCAACAGACTTATCCCCCTATAATTTTTGCACTCTCTTTTGTCCCCTTTGCCTTTATACAAAGGAACTATGCATGCTCTCTGCCAATCCCTAGGTACCTTACCCTCTTCCATACATTTATTAAATAATTGCACTATATCCCCACCTGCTTTTAACATTTCTATCTTTATCCCATCAATCCCAGCTGCCTTACCCCCTTTCATTTTACCTACTGCCTCACGAACTTCCCCCACACTCAAAACTGGCTCTTCCTCACTCCTACAAGATGTTATTCCTCCTTGCCCTATACACAAAATCACAGCTTCCCTATCTTCATCGACATTTAACAATTCCTCAAAATATTCCCTCCATCTTCCCAATACCTCTAACTCTCCATTTATAACTCTCCTCTCCTATTTTTAACTGACAAATCCATTTGTTCTCTAGGTTTCCCTTAACTTGTTAATCTCACTCCAAAACTTTTTCTTATTTTCAACAAATTTGTTGATAACTTTTCCCACCACTCTCTCATTTGCTCTCTTTTACATTGCTTCACCACTCTCTTTAACCTCTCTCTTTTTCTCCATATACTTTTCCCCTCCTTGCATCCTTCTACTTTGTAAAAATTCTCATATGCTATCTTTTTCTCCCTTACTACTCTCTTTACATCATCATTCCACCAATCGCTCCTCTTCCCTCCCGCACCCACTTTCCTGTAACCACAAACTTCTGCTGAACACTCTAACACTACATTTTTAAACCTACCCCATACCTCTTCGATCCCATTTCCTATGCTCTCATTAGCCCATCTATCCTCCAATAGCTGTTTATATCTTACCCTATGTACCCCTTAAAGTCCTGCACATATTTTTCAGCTGCTTTATTATCAGAACTGGCAGCCTCGCCATGCCTTATCATACCATACCACCATCACAATCGCTACCACCCTCTACCACCAGCACTACAACCCTCTACCACCATTATAACCACTACCACCCTCTACCACCATCACAACCACTACCACCCTCTACCACCATCACTACCACCCTTTACCACCATCATAACCACTACCACCCTCTGCCACCATCACTACCACCCTCTACAAATATCACAATCACTACCACCCTTTACCACCATCACTACCACCCTCTACCACCATCACAATTGCTACCATACTCTACCACCACCACTACAACCCTCTACCACCACCACAACCACCCTCTACCACCATCACAACCACTACCACCCTCTACCACCACCACTTTCGTATTTTTCTACAAACTTTTTCTTAAATTATGTGTTTCTCACATTCTTTACCATAGGGCTGGTACTAGATGCTTTCTTGGGGCCCATGGTGGCTTAGTAGTTACAAGCACCAAAAACAATGGAATAATACAAAATATATCGCATGTACGCGCGGAATCGTCCTTACTGGCTTTGTAAACAATGGCACACTGGCAGGTACATGGAGTGAGTGGCCGGGCCTGCTCAGGGCACCGTGCCGACATGTTCGGGACAAAAGCTCCTAACCAAGTTTTTAGGTGTTATTTGAGCTAATTTTTTTACGCCAAAGCGAGGCATTATCTGATGCAGGCATTAACTGAGGGTCCACTGTAATTCCATATACAGTTGACCCTCGACCAATGATATTAACCCTTTCAGGGTCCATCCCGTAGATCTACGGCTTTACGTTCAGGGTCCAAACCGTAGATCTACGTCACGAGCTCAGCTCACTCTGATACACTGTGAGTGGTACATTTGGGCCTAGATATGAGAGAATACATCTATGTGGTATGTGTGCACCACATAAAACAGATCCTGCAGCACACTGTGTATAATGAGAGAAAAAACTGAAATCATGATTTTTCGATTAAAACAGCGACTTTGCAGTGTTTTTTCGTATGTTTTTTATAGTTGTATTTGCGATTTCTTGGTCTCATTTTATAGAATGGAAGACATATTACAGAAATAGTGATGATTTGATTGGTTTTAGCACTGGAAATGGCTTGAAACTGAGCTCAAAGTAGCAGAAATGTTAAATTTTTGCCGATATTCAAGAGTAAACAAACAACCTCACACGTCTAATACACGCCAGCTGGTGGGTCTAATATGCATTCACAAATATGGTGATTATATTTATACAATTATTACAGTATTTCATAACAGCAAATCTTCTATTTTTTGGTGTGAATAAAAATTCATTATGTGAATAAAAAATAAAAATGGAATTTATTTGTAAAGCCTCAAAACATAACTAATGAACAGAGGAAATGTTAGTTTAGTTCCAGGAATACCTACATTGTTTATTCTGGACCCTATTTTGAAATTGGAATATTTTGAACTTTGTGTTAAATTGGCCAAATTAAAAATTTCCGATCACTTTAATTTGTAGTTGAAACAGTTGACTTGGCGATTTCTTGTGCTCAATCGATAGAATAGAAGTAATACTAGTGAAATAGCTAAGAATTTGGTCGACTGGAATAATGTAATTGGCCTAAAATGGGAGTCAAAGTCGGCAAAATCGCCGATTCGTAAATATAGCTGACACATCAAAATTCGCGAGAGCATAATTTCGTCAATTTTCCATCAAATTTCATACTTTTTGTTTTATTACCTTCACAAAAAGATTCTCTACCATTTCATAAGAAAAAATAACAAATTTTTTTTTTGAAAATTCTTGGACACTGGGGCACCACTTCAGATTTGGGCCTTGGACCCTGAAGGGGTTAATCTATTCCAGAGAGCTTGTCCTTAGCCGAATTTATCGTTAACGAATTAATTTTCCCCATAAGAAATAATGGAAATCCAATTAATCCATTCCAGACACCCAAAAGTATGAAAAAAAAAAAAAATTCAAACGAAATATACATTTTCCTACACAGAAAAACAAGGATACATGCACAATAAATACTGTAGTAAATGAAGAATAAGTGACACTTACCTTAATTGAAGATGTAGTGATGAGTGATGAGATAGGGGGAGGGGAGAAGGTGGTGTATTATTGTTTGGAAGGGGAATCCCCTTCCATAAGGACTTTAGGTACCAAGTCCTTTTCCAGGGTTACATCCCTTCTTTTTTTAATGCTGCTGGGAACAACTTGAGAGTCACTGGACCTCTGTAACACCAAAAATCTGTCCATAGAGCTCTGTACCTCACATTCCTTTAAGATTTTTCTAAAATGGGCCACAACACTGTCATTGTAAAAGTCACCAGCACGGCTTGCAATAGCTGTGTCAGGGTGATTTTCATCCATAAAGGTTTGCACCTTTGTCCGCAATGTACAAATTTCCTTAATTGTTGAAGAAGGCAACTTCCTCCATTTCTCTCTCCCCTCCTCTGAAGCAATTTCCTCAGTTGTGGCCTCTTGCTGTTGCAGATGCTCTTGCAGCTTATCAGTGGTTAGTTCTTCATTGTCGTCCTCCACCAACTCTTCCACATCCTCCCCACTAACCTTCAACCCCAAGGACTTCTCCAGTGCCACAGTAGATTCCACAACTAGCATAGGCTTCTCAGGGTTAGTCCCAAACCCTTCAAAATCCCCCTCTTGTACACATTGTGGCCACAATTTCCTCCAAGCAGAATTCAAGATCCTGTTAGTAACTCCCTCCCAAGCCTTACCTATAAGGTTTATGCAATTGAGGATACTAAAGTGATCTTTCCAAAAGTCTCTTAAGGTCAATTGAGTGTCTGAGGTCACTTCAAAGCACTTTTGAAACACTGCTTTGGTGTACAGTTTTTTGAATTTGAAATGACCTGCTGGTCCATGGGCTGGAGGAGAGGAGTGGTATTAGGAGGCAAGAACCTGCTTTGATAAAACTCAACTCCCCCAAAATTCTCTCTGGTAACTCTGAAGGATGAGCAGGAGCATTGTCTAATACCAGGAGGCACTTTAGGTCCAATTTATTTTCCAGGAGATAATTTTTTACAGTGGGGCCAAACACATGATAAAACCAATCGTAGAAAATGGCCCTAGTGACCCATGCCTTACTGTTTGCCCTCCACATCACACACAAATTAGCCTTGACGACACTGTTTTTCTTGAACACTCTGGGAGTTTCAGAGTGATACACGAGTAGAGGCTTCACTTTGCAATTCCCACTACATGAGAGTTACCCTGTCTTTCATAGGCTTGTGTCCTGGCAGTGCTTTTTCCTCCTGTGTAATGTAGGTCCTGCTTGGCATTTTCTTCCTGTTTCACCACAATTAAACACTTGTTGGGGTTTTAATTTATCTATGTACTCCTTGAATTCCTGCACATATTTTTCAGCTACTTTTTTGTCCGAACTGGCAACCTCTCCATGCCTTGCCACGCTGTGTATGACACTACGATTCTTAAATCTCTCAAACCAACCTTTGCTGGCCTTAAATTCAATAACATCACCATTAGTTGCAGGCATTTTTTTAATTAAATTGTCATGCAACTGCCTTGCCTTTTTGCATATTACTGATTGAGTAATACTATCTCCTGATATTTGTTTTTCATTTATCCACAACAACAACAGTCTCTCAACATCTTCGAGTATTTGCAATCTCTGTTTCGAAAACATACTTGCACCTCTCGCAACAACAGCCTCCTTGATTGCCTTTCTGTTGGCCAAGACAGTAGCGATGGTTGATTGGGGTTTGTTATACAACCTGGCCAGCTCGAAGACACGCACTCCAATTTCATACTTTGTAATTATCTCCTTCATTTTGACTATAATTCTCACCATTTTTACCAGAAGGTTGGCACTAGAAGCTTTCTTTGGGCCCATGGTGGCTTATTTAGCAGTTACAAGGACTAAAAACACTGGAATAATACAAAATGTACAGAATGTATGCGTGGAAGCGACAGCACTGGCTTGTAAACACTGGCACACTAACTGAAGGCAGGGCAGCTGAGGCACGCTCAGGCCAGACAGACACGTGGACACGTTCGGAATGAATGTTGTTAGTCAAGTTTTTCATCGTCGGTCGGGCCAAAATTTTCACGCTCAAACGCAGGCGATTTTTCATTAGATGATGCCATCATTGGTCGAGGGTCCACTGTAACATAACTGCTTTGCCTCCTTTCATCCTGCTTATTGCCTCACCTACTTCCTCCACACTTATCTCTGACTCTTTCATAATAATGATCCTATTTCTTTCAACCACAAGAATGAAATCACCACCTCTCTTTCATCATCAACATTTAAGTTCATCAAACTATTTCCATCTTTCTAATATCTCCACCTCCCAATGTAACATCTCGTGTCTTTAATTCTTAAGTGCTGCTCCTTTTGTCCTCTCCAATACACTGGTCACTCTCTGACAGACTTAAGGAACACTAAAGAAAAGTTAGCCTTGCCAACACTAATAATGCTCTTTTCTGTCATATTAGAGATCATGGTCCTTTGCCAAAACTGTCTAGCCTTCAAAGATGTCATCTTGTTGAAACATCCCTTACACATAACTTTCCAAATATGACTCTTAGTCCTGGCTTTGTCTCTGAAGATACCTTCCTGTCTCATTATAGTATCAAATGCTCGAAATTTTAGAACACTCGTGACTTAGACTAATCATTATCTCCTCCTCTCCTTTCCTATATTTTCATTGTCTTTTCTGTGTTTTGCCTAGGTGGGTTATGTCCTATGGGGGTTTTGTCCCACTGGGATTTGGTTCTTCCCTCATAAGCCATTAGCTTCCCTGCAGTGCTTCTTTTCTCTTGTTCTTAGACTATCTCCACTATTTACTTCTACTACTACAACTACTATAACTTTGCTAAGTCTCCACCCTCTTACCCTTTTTTCACTACCACTACTACCTTCTTACTGCCACCTCTACCACTGTTGTACTATGGAAATAATACAGACTGTGAATCCTCGATGACACACTGACTTTCTTGGGTTATTCTAGGTGGCTAACCCTCCAGGTTAAAAATCCTAACAAAATCTTATTTTATCTTAAATCTTATCTTAACACTACCAGCACTACTACTGCCACCACTACTACTATCACTTTAATACTATTCTCATTCTACTACTTTCCCCTGCCCTCTTTCATATATATTCTTGCTTTCTTCCTTTTGCACATCTGTGTGACTAGATAATGGTCCAAATCAGACCAAAAATGTCGTCCTAAGATTCATTCTCTGTGCAGGTTATTTGTGCTTGAATGCTAAGTTTAATAAATTATGTTACTACTTGTATGGAAAAGTAATTTAAACCAAGCAAAATGGTATCTTTAATAGTATCTAAACTGTTGTGTTTTTGTTAATCATATAGTGGGTATTTTATACCTCTTATGATCATTATGCCTGGAACATTGAGATAAAAGCCACTTCACAAATGTCATTACACAATTCCAGTATTAATAATTAATGTTACTGTAATTAAAATGAAAAATGTAAGTAAAAATCTTAACTCACAAATTTTTAGATTTCAAACTGATTTTTTTTTTAAATACAGTACCAGTCAATATAAAATGTATTGATATTTATAAAAGAACATTAAATAAAGTAAAAGAAATTAAAATTTGTATTTCTTGTGAGCCATAAAATAATATATATATAATAATGTGCAGAGTAACTAACCTGTAAACAGTAGTGTGTGCATCATGAGTGTGACAGCTGTTCTCCTTATATGATATTGGATAAAAGCTGTTAGCTGACTGCCCAACCATGATCCAAAAACAGTTTCAATGGTCAGCCCTGCAGATACCATTTCATCTGGTGGGAACACTACCACCAGTGCAAATAACCAGTAAAGTAGAGAATAAAACCAAGCTTCTCCAAACATTGTTTCCTGAAATCATTAAATCTCTTTTTAAGTGACTTCATAAAGCTGACTTGTGAGTGAAACATTATTCAAATAAAGGCCTGCTCTGTTGTAAGTGTTTTTCTTCTACCATATTATTCATTAAAAATATAAATACAGTGGTACCTCGGGATACAAACAGCTCAAAATGCGAACAATTATTTAAGTGTATTTATGTAAGTCCTTTTGTAAGTGCATTTTTGGGGGATCTTAAACGGATTAATCTAATTTACATTATTCCTTATGGGAACAAATTCGTTCGGTATCATCACTCAAACAGCCTTCTGGAACGAATTAAGTTCATATCCCGAGGTACCACTGTATATACATGTATATAAATATAAATAAATAAATATATGTATGCATCATTGTATGTATGTGTGTGTATGTATATATGTGTATATATACAGTGGAACCTCGGTATGCGACCTTAATTCATACCAGAAGGCTGTTCAAGTGCCACTTCGTTTGAGTATCGAACGAGTTCTCCCCAAGCAATTTTCTGTTTGGTTGGCTGTTATCACTAATCATCATAGGCCCCATAGTAACTTATTTATACAATATAAAAAAAACACCAAAATATGTGAACACGAAATAGTTTACAGCGAAGTTCTGGCAGGTCGTATTTGTTTGGTATATATACACCTACCATCCGACTTACGACCTGCTCGACTTACAACCACTCGACTTACGACCGTGTTTTTTATGCCAAATTTCTGGGAAATAAACAACTATTTGTGTTGTACACAGTGTTTATCCTAAATCTTACAGTATAAAATACAGTACTAACAGCATAAAAAGTAAAGTAAAACATGAAATACCAAAATAAAACAATAAAATAAAGTTATTACAAAAATGTTTTGTTGATATTCAGTAATAAAGTTTGACTTGCGACCATTTCGACTTACGACCGGTTTCTCGGAACCGAACTCGGTCGTAAGTCGGATGGTAGGTGTATATACAGTGGAACCTCTACCTGCGAGTTTAATCTGTTCCATGACCTTGCTCACAACTGGATTTGCTCATTTGCAGAGTCAATTTTCCTCATTTAAATTAACTGAAATGCAATTAATCCGTTCCAGTGAAATTCTGTACTTCAATAATTTCGCTAATATCAACTCCATGACTTATTTATCTATCTCACTTCATCTAATATGACATAATAAACAATATAAATAACATAGAAACCTGATATAGACTCTAAAATGAATAAAATATGTCATTCATGAAGTGGTATGGGCGGTGTCGGCAGTGAACGAGAGTTTGTCTGGAGACCAGGCAAAATACTTCATGAATGATTTTGCTAATATCATCTATATGGCTTATTTATCTATCACAGTTCATCTAATATGACATAACAAACAATATAAATAATATAGAAACATGATATATACTCTAGAATGAATAAAATATGTCATTATGTAACAGGTGGAGGCAGGTAGTTGATGAGTGGAACAGTCTGCCTAGTAGCTGTGATGAATGGTTTGAAAAACCGACAAGTTGGAGATTGAGACACTTATGCAACATATGGGAATCTTCATTCAGGAAATGTTTCGCCACACAGTGGCTTCATCAGTTTTTCAAACCATTCATCACAACTGTCAGACACTGCAGCATCATGGGATATTCTTACAAAGAATTTTTCAACCTTGTCCAACCTTTGGACGAAGACCTACTTCGAATAGTGGATGGTACCACTATGACCTCGCCTCCTCCTTCGCCTTACCTGACTACAATATATAAGCCATGTCTACGGCCCTATGCTGTACATTCTACAAGACTGATGGACTGAACACATCGACTCCAGGCTGAGGGACTGATTACCTCAAACTCCTCCTCTCCTTACACCTTTCTGCTTTGTATTGGACTGATGAATCCACTGTGTGGGGAAACATTTCCTGAATGAAGATTAACATATGTTGCATAAGTGTCTCAATCTTCTGCCTAGTAGGGTTATTGAAGCTAAAACGTTGGGTAGTTTCAAATTTAGGTTGGATAAATACATGAGTGAGAGGGGTTGGTTGGATTTGAGTGAGACTTGCATAATGAGTAAATAGAATCATCAAAACTTATTTCTTGGGTAGCACGGAAAATTGGGTGGGGCAAATATTTTGTTAGTGGGATGGATTGTAAAGGACCTGCCTAGTATGGGCCAACAGGCCTGCTGCAATGTTCCTCCTTTCTTATGTTCTTATGAATGAAATTTCAGGATGTGAACTTCCCCCTCAAGGGAGGTTCCTTGGTGAGGGGCTCTTAAGAACATAAGAATGGAGGAACACTGCAGAAGGTCTACTGGCCCATGCAAGGCAGGTCCTTATCAAAATGACCTCTACCCAAAGCTGCCCAAGAATTAACTCCCGTACCGAATGACACCAATCAAACCCAGCCCCTCCCACTCATATATTTGTCCAATCTCTTTTTAAAGCTACCCAAGGTCCTAGCCTCGATCACCCTACTGGGAAGATTGTTTCACGCATCCACAACTCTGTTAGAAAACCAGTACTTACCTATGTCCTTTCTAAATCTAAATTTTTCCAACTTAAATCCATTATCTCTGGTTCTTAGCTGGTTCGACACCCTCAGCACCTTATTAATATCTCCTTTGCTCATGCCCGCCATCCACTTATACGTACACTTCAATGATATCTCCCCTCATTTGATACAAAATTATTAATTTTTACATTAACATAAATGAAAAAATATATCTTTAACCCCTTCAGGGTCCAAGGCCAAAATCTGAAGTGGTGCCCCAGTGTCCAAGAATTTTCAAAAAAAAAAATTTATATTTTTTCTTATGAAATGGTAGAGAATCTTTTTATGAAGGTAATAAAACAAAAAGTACGAAATTTATTGGAAAATTGACGAAATTATGCTCTCGTGAATTTTGATGTGTCAGCGATATTTACGAATCAGCGATTTTGCCGACTTTGACTCCCATTTTAGGCCAATTACATTATTCCAGTTGACCAAATTCTTATCTATTTCAATAGTATTACTTATATTCTATCGATTGAGCACAATAAATCGCCCAGTCAACTGTTTCAACTACAAAATAAAGTGATCGGAAGTTGGTAATTTGGCCAATTTAACACAAAGTTCAAAATATTCCAATTTCAAAATAAGGTCCAGAATAAACAATGTGGGTATTCCTGGCACTAAACGAACATTTCCTCTGTTCATTAGTTACGTTTTGAGGCTTTACAAATAAATTCCATTTTGATTTTTTATTCACAACAATGTAGGTATTCCTGGCACTAAACTAACATTTCCTCTGTTCATTAGTTACGTTTTGAGGCTTTACAAATAAATTCCATTTTGATTTTTTATTCACATAATGAATGTTTATTCACACCAAAAAATAGAAGATTTACTGTTATGCAATATTGTAATAATTGTATAAATATCATCACCACATTTGTGAATGTATATTAGACCCACCAGCTGGCTCGTATTAGACGTGTGAGGTCGTTTGTTTACTCCTGAACATCGGCAAAAATTTAACATTTTCGCTACTTTGAGCTCAGTTTCAAGCCATTTCCAGTGCTAAAACCAATCAGTAATATGTCTTCCATTCTATCAAATGAGACCAAGAAATCGCAAATACAACTATAAAAAACATACGAAAAAACACTGCAAAGTCGCTGTTTTAATCGAAAATCATGGTCTCAGTTTTTTTCTCTCATTATACACAGAGTGCTGCAGGATTTGTTTTATGTGGTGCACACATACCACATACATGTATTCTCTCATATCTAGGCCCAAATGTGCCACTCACAGTTTATCAGAGTGAGCTGAGCTCATGACGTAGATCTACGGTTTGGACCCTGAACGTAAAGCTGTAGATCTACGGGACGGACCCTGAAAGGGTTAAACATGTAAGAAATTTTTTTAGAAAGGATTCAATTTTGAATGAGTTTATGCTATTTGACCAGTTTTACCTATTCGGCATATATATATATTTTTTTATATTTATTTTTATTATCACACTGGCCGATTCCCACCAAGGCAGGGTGGCCCGAAAAAGAAAAACTTTCACCATCATTCACTCCATCACTGTCTTGCCAGAAGGGTGCTTTACACTACAGTTTTTAAACTGCAACATTAACACCCCTCCTTCAGAGTGCAGGCACTGTACTTCCCATCTCCAGGACTCAAGTCCGGCCTGCCGGTTTCCCTGAATCCCTTCATAAATGTTACTTTGCTCACACTCCAACAGCACTTCAAGTATTAAAAACCATTTGTCTCCATTCACTCCTATCAAACACGCTCACGCATGCCTGCTGGAAGTCCAAGCCCCTCGCACACAAAACCTCCTTTACCCCCTCCCTCCAACCCTTCCTAGGCCGACCCCTACCCCGCCTTCCTTCCACTACAGACTGATACACTCTTGAAGTTATTCTGTTTCGCTCCATTCTCTCTACATGTCCGAACCACCTCAACAACCCTTCCTCAGCCCTCTGGACAACAGTTTTGGTAATCCCGCACCTCCTCCTAACTTCCAAACTACGAATTCTCTGCATTATATTCACACCACACATTGCTCTCAGACATGACATCTCCACTGCCTCCAGCCTTCTCCTCGCTGCAACATTCATCACCCATGCTTCACACCCATATAAGAGCGTTGGTAAAACTATACTCTCATACATTCCCCTCTTTGCCTCCAAGGACAAAGTTCTCTGTCTCCACAGACTCCTAAGTGCACCACTCACTCTTTTTCCCTCATCAATTCTATGATTCACCTCATCTTTCATAGACCCATCCGCTGACACGTCCACTCCCAAATATCTGAATACGTTCACCTCCTCCATACTCTCTCCCTCCAATCTGATATTCAATCTTTCATCACCTAATCTTTTTGTTATCCTCATAACCTTACTCTTTCCTGTATTCACCTTTAATTTCTTCTTTTGCACACCCTGCCAAATTCATCCACCAATCTCTGCAGCTTCTCTTCAGAATCTCCCAAGAGCACAGTGTCATCAGCA